CCGTGGAGTGGCGGCAGGCTGGGACTGGGGCTGAGTATCCTTCGTGTTCCATAAAATCCCCGGCGTGGCTGTGTGCGAGCAGCTGGGATGGTGGTGCCCTCTCCCAGCTTCTGGCGGCCCCAGCATTGGTGCGAGCTCCAGCTTCAGGAGCTTTGTGGTGCCCTGTTGCTGCCCCTCTGTCGGAATCTGATACCCCACCGTCAGGTTTGAGTTTCTTCTGCATTAGGGATGTGCTCGAGGCTTAATAGTGGGGGGTAATAGCCCCATCCTTTAGGTTGGCTTGAGCTGGGGTCTTGAGATGCGGAATGAGCCTGCTCCCCTTGCTGGATCTCACGCCTTCTCAGAAGAAACCCAGGCCCACCCATGCTACTTCTGTGGGGTGTTATGAGGCTAGCTGGGTGTTCCTCCTCCTCTGCCCTCCTTGCTGCACCCAAATCCCAGTGGGAGCTGGTGGCCTGTGCCATGGGGCTGGGAGTTGTGTAGCTTTTAGGAAGCTTGCTTTAGTTGCCGCAGGGTTTTGAGATACAGGGATTTGGGGATGGTACTGCTTCTCCCTGTGCTTGAGAGGCTGGAAAAGGGTTTGTGCTGGGGATGCAGCAGTAGCGGTGGGACCCTGGGTGAGGTCTAGCAGGAGACCCATCCCTCTCTCCCACTTGCAGCCCTGGGATAAAGTGAGCATCCCGGGAAGCTGCGCCTGGGCAGTGCTCATCCCTGCTGCCTGCACCAGCTAGGTGGTATGGGCAGTTTAAGGGGAGCATTTGGTGGGAGGATCAGTACTTCTGCCCTGTATAGACATGGGTTAAATCGCCCTCTGCTTTCCTAAACGAGTTGGAGGATCATGTGTCCCAGGACAGAAAGCTGCCACTGCCTTGGCTCTCTCTTTAGCCAGTGTTTTAGCAAAATCCGTGCTTAATGTGGTTTGAATCTCAACTCTATCTTTCATCAGGACAGCAGGATGAAAGCCACAGGATGATCCCCGGGAGAGGCCAGTTTGAGCCTGTTTGTGGAGAGACTTGAGCTTCCCTGAATGTGTGCCTGGCCCCCCTCATTGTTAGTGCCATCAGCTTCCTCTCTGCTGGGACAATAGTGCCTTGAATCCTCCTGGGTAATCTCCCCCCTTATCTCCCTTCTCTTCCGTAGGTATATCCCTGGCAGGCGGGAAGGGTGGGAGGTTTGGGAAGAGCCAATTATGCAGCTAGAGGAGTGAGAGGTGCTGTGTCAAACTGACACCCCTTTTTGGGGAGAAGGGTAGGGAAGAGGATACTCAACACAGGAGCCTGTCTGAGCTCTTCTCTGCTTGCTCTCCCCTTCATGCTCCTCTAAGCCTCACCAGGAAGTCCTGTGGTGAGGACAAGGATGCTCAGAGAACCCCTGTTGCTCTTTGGCACTCAGACGTGCTGGTGTTGCCCCAGGGCTGGGGGTGCATCAGGGAGTACCTCTCCTTGCTGGGGCTGCAGGTGTGGGGAAAAGCAAGGTGACCATTGTTCAGGATGCTGGAAGCATCTGTGACTACTGGTGGACTGGCTGGCCTGATGCTGGGGCTCAAGTGAAGCCAAGAGAACAAGGTGGAGTCCATCCCTTGGAAACCCACCTTCTGGCATCTTCCAGGCCGGAATCTGTGGACATGGTACTCCAAAACTTGCTTGGCTGAAGCATAGCAGTCACAGGCCAAGGCAGCTGGTTGTTGATGTAAGTGGTACTGTGGGCCCTGAGAGGTGGGAGGGTCCCAGTGCATGGAGACTGGTTTTGTGCTGCCCCAAAAGCACAACAGCAGTTAGCAGCCTGGGTTTGGATTCTGTGTAAGCCATGGAGGTCTGCAGGGCCCTTCCTTCTGCTGGTGAGGAAGTTAATGAGGAGCCCCTTGCTTTGTCCACTGCCTGCAGGTAGAAGAAAGCACCAAAGAGGCAAGAAAAGTAGATGTAGAAAAGCAAAAGGGTGGGGAGGAGGCTGCTGTGGAGCCCACTGTGATGAGGGAGTGTTTTTAAATCAAAGCACTCTTCTTAAAAAGAAAACTTAAGCCCAGCAGATCTACTCGGCAGTCAAGCTCTGGCTTTTTTTTTATTTTCTCAAAGCCATGTAATAATTGTTAAATGCAGGGGATACTTTGTGAAACAGAATTCAAGGGAAGGGAGGAGGGTGGAGCAGAATTCAAATTTTAAATTGGATAGGGGTACAAAGCCCCTTAGTTCCTCATTTCTGCTTGATGCAGCTGGAGCTGTGCTTGACAAGATGCTGACCAGAGCCTGTGGTACATGTTTTACAGTACCGTGTATCAGCCAGATCAATTCTAATGTGCTTGAGGGAGTGCAGATAAAATGGCTTAAAGATTCCCCTGCTGAAAGTGATAGTATCATCATTTATGCTGGAGAAGACAGATTTAGTTGCTTGACATTTATTTGGCTATGGTGTACTTTACAGATTTCACACCCGGGGACGATAGCCAACCTGATGATGTCAGATGTGAGCTGCAAGAAAAAGGAAAAAAAATAATCACACAAAAAGCTAGTGCTGTTTCTCTTTTGTCAACCAGATGAGTTTTGCTAAGTGTCTTGGTTGTTTTACTCCACGGAGCTCCTTAATGGAAGGTGCAGACCAGGAGTAGGGTGTTACTAAAACAGCTTGTCCTGCATGTGCTGTGTGGTAATGAAATGGTGAACTTACGTTATTTCTTCTGATCCTGTTTTGCCTGTAGGTCACTTGAACTACATACTGAGCAAACATGAGTGCAGTTGATTTGACATCCATCCTCGATTTCCTGGAAACAGCCAACTTGACGGAGATCAACTGGACATGCAACAACAGTGACTGCATCACGGTTGATGCGACAACATGCCCTGGCACACTCAACAAAAGTGCCCTGCTCTACACCCTCTCCTTCTTCTACATTTTCATCTTTGTCATAGGGCTGGTGGCCAACTCGGTTGTGGTGTGGGTCAACCTCCAGGCCAAAATGACTGGCTATGAAACTCACCTCTACATCTTCAATTTGGCTATTGCTGATCTCTGTGTTGTCATTACCCTTCCAGTGTGGGTCGTCTCGCTCATCCAGCACAACCAGTGGCACATGGGAGAAATCACGTGCAAGATAACTCACCTTATATTTTCCATCAACTTGTACAGCAGCATCTTCTTCCTGGCTTGCATGAGTGTGGACCGCTACCTCTCGGTTGCCTATTTCACCAATTCCAGCAGTCGCAAGAAGAAGATAATCCGTCGCTGTATCTGTGTCTTAGTGTGGCTCCTTGCCTTCTCCGCATCTCTCCCGGACACCTATTACCTCAAGACGGTCTCTTCCAGCAATGAAACCTATTGCCGTCCTGTTTATCCGGAAGAGAGCTTCAAGGAGTGGTTGATTGGCATGGAGCTTATCTCTGTCGTGCTGGGCTTTCTTATCCCTTTTCCCATCATTGCTGTCTTTTATTTCCTTCTTGCCAAGACCATCTCCGCCTCCAGTGACCAAGAGCGGAAGAGCAATGGGAAGATCATCTTCTCCTATGTCGTCGTGTTTCTTGTCTGCTGGCTGCCCTACCATGTAGATGTCCTGCTTGACATCTTCTACAGCCTTCATTTCATACCCTTCAGCTGTCAGATGGAGAACTTCTTGTACGCCACTCTCCACATCACTCAGTGCTTCTCTCTAGTCCATTGCTGTGTCAACCCCATCCTGTACAGCTTCATTAACCGCAACTACAGATATGAGCTCATGAAAGCCTTTATTTTCAAGTACTCAGCCAAAACTGGTCTTACTAAACTTATCGACGCTTCCAGGGTGTCAGAAGCAGAATACTCTGCTCTGGAGCAAAATGCCAAATGACTGCAAGCCCTTAAAGAAACCCCCTTGACTCTCTGACCTGGTGTTTGTGTGTTGTGGTTTGTTGTTAATTTTTTTTACCCCCTCCTTTCCATGTGCTTGTTATGAACGGGGCATGAATTCCAGCCTACAAAAGAGAGAAAGCAAAGTGTAATTTAAGAGTAGAATCAGTTGTAAAGTGGAAGTGGTACCAAAATTGAAACCTTTTCTCCTCCTAGCCCAGTCTGGACTTCTCAACAATGCTATGCAAATGGAAGTGACTTCCTAGCAGACAAAGCCATTGTGTACCATAGATAACACGTGTTTCCAGGAGAAGCTGTTCCTTCTGCGTATAGAATCCCTCTTGTTTCTCCTTGTATATGTTTATATATTTAGTGTGTTGTATTTAAAAGCTCAAGACTTTATTATCTGGCTCTTGGTGTACCTTATGCAATTGTATCTGAAAGTGAAATATATTTTTATCATGTATGTAAAGTATTTGCTGATGAGTGTATCCAGAGCTGTAGTCTGAGTGTTAGGTTGCCGTTGGGTTTCAAGAGGATGCTGATCAACAGAGTGGAAATTATCTCCTAGGTGCATCCTCCCTGACTGGCACACTTTATCCACTGTAGCTTTACATGGTGTCATACCCACACATCTGAAGCATGATATGTATGTAGTGTAATATAGCTGC